CAGCTTTCAGGATGGCCGAGCGGTGAGGAGGAGAGAAGCCGCAGCTTTCAGGATGGCCGAGCGGGGAGGAGGAGAGAAGCCGCAGCTTTCAGGATGGCCGAGCGGTGAGGAGGAGAGAAGCCGCAGTCATCCTGTCAGTTTCAGGATGACAGCGGCTCTGTGCGTGGACGGGCGGGGGATCGGTAAATATCAGTGATATTTACCAATTCTCTGTGTGAGAAGGACAAACACTGGAGTGATCATCTGATCAATCCAGTGTTTGTAAATAACTGGGGACACATAGTACTAGTAACATAGTTATTTTCTATTTTAAAAGGTAAATGTCAGGGGTCGGTTTAGACCTCTAATATTTTATCAAACAAAACACATTTTTATGCTATTTTGGATTCAGCCTTTGCCATGTTCTGGAGGCAGGGCGCACGGCGTCATATGACACCACACGTGTTGGGCGCCGCCATCTTGGTGTATATCTAGTTTATGCACCAAGATGGCAGCGCCTTTATCGGTGTGTGACGTCACCTGACGCCACGCACGCATGGTGTCATGTGCCTCCAAGATGGTGGCACGCATTCACAGAACGCGCCGGTGGCCAACATGGCCACTGCACATTCTCAAACAAATTATTATTTGCTCAAATACATTTTTAGTATATTCGGGCAAATAGTAATTCATTCATTTAACACGTAGTCCGGGTTTTATTTTCTGTTTCTTATTTTTACTTTTCTCGATGCACTTACTTGAAAAAAGGGATCGGCATGACTCCCTGACACTTTATTTTTATAGTCTCTATTTTAGTTTGACATTTATTGTTTGCCTTCTGTTGTTTTATGTGATAAGAATACTAATATTGTGCCGACAAGTTTAACACCTCTGAATAAAAGTTTTATTTTTATCATACTTTTTAATATGTTTCTTAACAAAGTGGGAGTCTTTAAATGGTGCGGATATTGGGGAAAATGGGTGTGGTTATGGGGGTGTGGCCACTGAAGGGTGTGGTCACTGAGGGGCGCTGTAAAGCTTTTTTCGCACAGGGCGCCTAAAGGCCTAAGGCCGGCTCTGATCACAGGGGACTGGGTACTCTAATCAAAGGGGACTGGGAACAAAGTGTCTGCACAGTAAACATGGGTCACCCAGAGCTGCAGGGTCTAAGGAGATCCTGGTCTTCCCCAGAGCATCTGAAGGTGAGGTTATTGTGCTGCAGGACAGCTCCCAGGTTGCGTCCCCCCAACACACCATTGCAGACACATCTGACCGAAATGCAGTGGGAATTGAAAGAAAGAACAGCACTGGGACTCAGTGAATAGTAGAACAGGAGACTGTGAGCAAGAGGTGCAGCAAGGGTGCAGCAGGCGCACACCAGGAGAAGCGATACACCACAGAGGTATAAGACACACGGATCCAGAAGGAAGGACAGTGTCAGCACCAATTCAGAGATGATTGGAGGATCTACAGCCGAGTGATACACAAATAAGATACATTGCTGTTCAGAGTTTAGGTTCCTGAATGTATGTTTAAGAGTTTAGTGTCACTAAGCGTAATTGTCATATAAATGGCAGCAGTGGTTGTAAAGGTGAAAGGAAGTCATGTCCAGGTGATAGTAAAATCTGTACTAGTAAAAATGGAACGTTTAACTGCTGAGTTTAGAGTCAATTTAAAGTTACTTTTGCATGTATTGTAGGTGTCTTACATATTTTATAGCTGCTCCCCATAATCCTACATTTAGAGCATTGTAACAGTGATCACAACAGGTTATAAAGGATTAAACTTCACACTTTAATTGAAGGACAAAGTACACTATGTTATACAGATTGTTTGGAAATGGCATAGTCACCATTATCATTGTTATTTCACTAGATATAAAATTACAGAAATAAGGAAAACTATTATTTTAACAATATGAAAAAGGAGCTAATAGGTACATAGGTTGAAAAAATGATAATCAAGTTCAACCCAAAAACATTGCCTCCATAGAACATTCAGTGGATCCATTAGGAAGGGGAAAAAAGTGCAATTTGCTCCAACATTAAAAAAACAAAAATATGTGTCGATTTCCAAAGGTAATCAGATAATTATATAACAAATAATCTGCGCTTCTGGAAAAGGTCTAGAATAAATATATAATATAATTTTCTTTATTAACATTAAGCAATATTGTTTCTTAAAACATTATTAGCCATTCATAGTTTGTGTATGGATAAACAGTGCTGTACGTTGTTAAAGGAGAACTATGGGGTCAGGGCTTTTCCCCATAGTTCTCCTTAGGGTAACGGGAGAGCACAAACTACCGTCCTCCCGTCACCCTAAGCTCAGAATACCGCGAGCTACAGCTCCCTATATATTGAGACGCCGCAGACGGAGCGGATCCCGACATCGATGTCGAGATCCGCTCAGCTGAGTGACTGACCGCTGGCTCTGCCTATCTAGAGGCAGAGCCAGCTGTACCCGCCCCCTCCCCCGTCCGTTCCACCAGTCAGCGATGGCGGATCGGAGCGGGGAGGGGGGAATCCATCCCCTCCCCTGTCACTGCAGAGAGCCGTGACAGGATCGAGAAGTGAGCGAACACCGGCATGTGTTCGCTCACCTCCCGATCTACTGAGCCGACCTGTGACAGTCTCATTGTCACAGGTCGGCTAGAACTATGAGGTGAGTGAGAAGCACTCCCCCCCCCCTCCCTCATAGTTCTCCTTTAAGTTTTAATGTCTGCAACAAATATGCTGCAAAGACAAAAAACAGAAAAAGGACATTTTGAAGAATTATTAAAGGCTTCATCCAGTCAACACTCACATTTTTGTTATGGGTTGATGTTGTTGGTTGACCTACCAACTAGTTTTTAACATCACTCAAGGGCTTCAACAGCAGCAGGTTTCTTGGTCTTCTCCACACCACCACCACTGCTGTGGAGCCAAAGAAGGCACTTTGGTTCCACCAGTTTCAAAGTAAAGTCCCTTAATGATGGCTGGAGCAGCTAGATGTAGATAGAGGAGTTGAGAGATATTAGGGCTTGTTCACTCTGAATGTGTTGTGTTCCAGAACGGTAGCTGCTGGAACGCACCACGATCCCTCACGCAACTTCCCCCCTGCGTTCTAACTCTAGGGCTTGCTCTATTGTTTGCTTTTGCAGTGGAATGGCCGGCAATGTTTTGCCATGCGTCCGATCACACTGCGGGGGGCGGTAGTGGAAGCGGTGCCATTGAATTCAATGCACCGCCACGCCCCAGAACGCAAAAGGAAGTTTCGTAAGGGATCGCAGTGCGTTCCAGCAGCTTCCGTTCTGGAACCCACCGCATTTGGTGTGAACAAGCCCTTAGAGTAGGGGTGACCTGACTCTTAAAACAACTCTTCTAGTGATCTATTCACATTGTTAGAACTTTGATGTCTTAGCACATCTTTGTAAGACCATGCCACATTTCCAGCCATGTCTCTTTTAGTTTTGAATTGCTGGCTATGATAAAGACTGAATGAATTAACGGAGAAGCATTTGTTACAATGCTAATGGAAACTTTCCAGGGACCATCTCTAGGCATTGATTCAGATGCAGTAAAACACGCACTTATATAATACAACATTTGACAGAACAAGAAGAGGACCATACTCTTTACAACGTTGAGATGGACCTCTAAGTCTGGGTTTCCAAAGCCCGTGCCACTGCTTTTCATCTGTATGCTATGCATCAAAAGAGATCGAATTAACAGACTGACTGCAACACAAAATATCATGAATGGTAATGAGGATGGCACAAGGAACATTGTCAGTCGGTTTTGGCCATTTAGCATCAAAACATCGTGCATGGTCCTATTGTTCATGGCACCAACTGTTGAGTTTTGTTGCTGTACATTCACAATACGCCAACCAGCTGGAAGGCTGAAAAGCAGAGATATCAGAAGAGATGCCACCAATAACCAAGGGGCTAGTCTGGAGATCCTGGGCTTCAGGAAGATGAATAATTTATGGCTGAAGTTTGTAATCTTTACACAGTAAAATACACACAGTACAGTGGTGATCCAGAGATTGGCAAGGTTAAAAAACAAACCTATCAGTAAACTTGCTGAGAGAAAAGCAGGTAATCGGATCAACCAGGGAAAATACATTTCAAGGAAATAATATGTTAAACTGTGGAGCATGCGGAAGCTTCTGAAGACCCCCAGACAGGTGATGATTTTTTCGCAGGCTTCCAGGGATTTCTGCACCTTAAATTTCCTCAAGAAAACGGCCACAATAAAGGAATTTATTTGGATTCCCACAAAGCACTCAGCCAACAGCACAGCTGTAAATATACTCTTCAATAAGGAATCCATAGTATGAGACGAGATCTCCCTTCTCAGAGTCTTGCAGTAGGTTGTGTGTAATGATCAGGATATGCTGAATGTGAAATAGAGAACTCGTTCGCATCACACATGTAAATTAAGAAAAGTATTTAATTTGCATGGATTGCTTCTTTCTATTGGAACTATCACGTGTGCTGTCCAGCTTGTTATTTTTTCCGATAGTTGCATTCTGCCAGAGCTGTATTTACATCTTGCAAATGTGTCACTGTTGGTTGAATGGCAACATTTGAGGAACGTACAGTAAGTGAATTCAAACCTGCTGCTTGAGATAAGCATGGCTCTATACCCAGACAAAAAGGTTCAATAAAGGGTCAACTTGATGGACCACACAGTCTTTTTCTGCTGTCATGCTTAAAAATACATGCAAGAACCTTAACTATGAACCTATGTACCTTATTTGTGTATCGCTCGGCTGTAGATCCTCCAATCATCTCTGAATTGGTGCTGACACTGTCCTTCTTTCTGGAGGGGGGGCTACGTCTGTTCCCCATGGTCCCTGTGTGTGTTGTGAAGTAGTCACCACTCCATGATGTGAATTCAACATCATTGACGTTGTCCAGCAATGTAGCTCCATTTTCAGCCTCGCTGACCCACCAACTTTAACCCAACAACCCATCCTGACGATCCTCTCTTGTAGTACTCTTGCCAAAATTGACAGATCCCCACTGGCTGCTGAATGTCAACCAACCTAGTTGCTATGGATCAGGCCGGGGTCTGTGGGGGAAGCTGTCACATATATTGGCAGTAGTAATGTTACCAGTAAATGGCTGCAGCAGTCAGAGATTCGGTGCACGGGTGAACAGGCCGAATCTGGCCACTTAGTTTGCTCAATCGGTGAACTGCAGACATACTGTACAAAGCTCAAATCGAACTCAATCTGAACTCATATCTCATCCCTTATGATGAGGTACCAGTGTTGTCATTATGGTAAAGAGGAGTGAGGCACATGCTCACAAGTAGCAGGAAGTACTGAGTATATCACCGATGGCTGAATAAAGTGGCAGGAGAACAGGTGGCCATATGCTTGGGGTGGAGTGAGTGGCAAGAATGTAACCCTATTACAATGTCTCACATAGTAAAAGGAAAAGGGTCACTTTAACCCACCACTGACCCCGTACAGCAGAACTGGAGTGCGAGAAGAAGAAGCAGCACAGCAAACTAATCAGTTAATATGCTGACATGCAGCATCCTGGTTGGAGGAGAAAGTAGAGTGACAGAGAGATGAGTCCATCACTCGGCTGATTCTCCCTTCATCGTCCAGTCTGACTGGGGTCAGGTCCACGACAGCCTGGGCTTAGAGGAAGTGGGTTAAATAATGTTGACCATCAGACTGAGGACATCTAGCGACAAAAGAGAGGTATTGCGGGTGACACCTGTAGGTTGAAGGTAAATGGTGCAGAAAAGCTGTTTTTTTATCTTCTACTTAACTATTTGATGTGACCTTGTTATATTTGTATGGGATTCTGCTTTAAGGGAGCCCTACAGAAAAATAAACAGTGAAATAGTTATGTTTTTTTATATTACAATTCAAAAGCCAGTTCATTCCATTCAAGATTTGAATAGCTTTAAACATATCTTCTACATTTGCATGAATGATGTGCACAGGATCTGTAAATAACATCCATTACAACCCAACCACTGCACACATCCTGGCACACAGCTCTGCAGCCGTGACGCTGTCTCTGTCTCAGCACACAGATCCGGATCCATACCATGGAATTCTCCCTCCATAAGTTATTGCTAATGGTGATGCTTGCAGAGTGCTTTGTGGGGGTCGCCTTCCATATATTCATTGTGTCTTTTCAGTTCCTGAGATGGAAGACATTGAAATCCCAGAAAACCTACAACAAAATCCTCACCTGTTTGGCCATCTCCAGAAGCTTTCTGCTGCTGCACGTGTCTTTGTTCTACATTCTCTACCTTTTTTTCCCATGGGTGCTTGGTAGTATTATTTTGAGGTCAGCCTTTTTGGTAGAAGTTATGTTGCTAAACAACACCAACCTCTGGATAACCACCTTCCTGTTTGCATTCTACTGTGTGAAGATCACAACCTACAACCATACCATTTTTATCTACATGAAGACCAGGATCTCCAGACTAGTCCCTCACTTTATTCTGGGTTGCTTCCTGGTTTCTCTGGTCTCCAGCCTTCCGTTTGGTTGGTGCGTCTTCTACTTACCACAGCAAATTTCAGCCAACATGACAGTGAACTTTTCCAACATGACCATGAACAACCTTTTTTATAAAGAAAATGCTCACAACATGCTAATGCTGTTCATTGTGGGCTCCTTTCCACCATTTGTCATATCTTGTGGTGCCATCTACCTGCTGATTCGATCTCTTTGGCACCATGCCAGAGAGATGATAAGCACCGAGAAAGGTTTTCAAGGCCCGAACATTGAGGCTCACATCAATGCTGTCAAGATTATGTCTGTTTTCCTGTTTGGCCATGTTCTGTATTTCGTATGCATGAGCATGTTATTCTCTGATGTGATACATGAAAGCAACCCATGGAAGATGATCAATGCAATTGTAGTATTTGCACTTCCAAGTCTCCATTCGGCATTCATCGTCTCCAGCAATGTTGAACTAAAGCAGTCACTTACAGAAATGTGGCATGGTCTTATAAGGTGTTTTTAAAATGAAGGTAAAAGTAAAACTCCAATCAAACCTTTTTCTAGTTTTGGAGGGAACAGGGAAGAGTTAGAATCCAGTTTAGGTTTTTCTTAATCAATAGCTTTGGGGGCCCTTTGATTTCTAAGAGCTGCCAGCACAGTGTAAAAATGCTGCACTCCCCCACTTTCAAAGTACTTGGTGGAAACAAAATCATCCTGGGTGCCATGCACCTCCCTTCCATCCCTTCAACAGGTTTTTACCATTGTCTGTGTGCCCGTTAGGGAGATCCAACCTCACTGTTTGTCCTGAGGACCATAGTCACCTGGAGGGGAAGTGAGGGAGAACTCAAAACGTTACAGTTGTCACAAGACCAAGAGCAGAAGGGAACTTTCCAAATTGGGACACCTGTTTGATTGACAGAAGTGGGGTTTCCCCTTATTTTTGGGAGATTTCCATTTACTTTCTATAGAGAAGGCAACAAAAACCTGATTGGTGTTCTAACCCTTCCCCACTCTATTCAAACCTGAAAATATTTGGCTGAAGATACAGTTTAATGTGTAGTTTTGACCTTGAAACAGTGGATTTTCAAGAGCAAATTCATAAAGTTGTTCAGAATAGTGTTTTGGACGCTTGCTAGAGTTTCACTTTAGTTAAGGACTCCAGTAGTAAGCTGTGCCAGGCTGAGCGCTTGGCTTTTAAGCTGAGCTGCTTGCTGTCATCATCAATATCCTATGGTGGATTCGCCCTAGGAATATTTTGGGAATTGTCTGGGTGGTGACACAAGTAGTCTTGCAGAAAATCCAAGCTTCTAGCCTTTTCCAAAAATGTTTCAGGTGTGGTGAAGTCTCCTCACCTGCATCTTGAACAGCAATGCTTTTATGCTTCTCACTGAAGGTTTTATTCTTTATACATTAGCCTTGGATAGAAGCTTCCATATGGAAGTCCTACCAAAAATGTCAGCTTTGTCAAGCTACAATGCAAATTTTTGTTCAAAGTGAGTCACAAAGTTGCTCATTCCATTCTGTGGTCGCATTGAGGCTGAGAGCAATTGCCATGTTAAATGTCCATCAGTATCTGGTGGTAAGCTTTTAGCTTGTGACTGCTGTTACTCTTTACAATTTGTCCATGTTGTCACTTGCTTTAAGACTGTTCTCTCTGGCAGATTAAAGGAAACCTGTCACAAAAGTATATATCTGTGAAAGTTCTCATTTATCCAGGTCATGATGTTGCAAGTAGTAGTTGGTCACATTCAACTGGACTTGTTCTATAATTCTGAAGGTGTCCAAGCAGCTTCCTAAGTCCTGATCATTGCCAGGAGTATGTTTCTGGCACTTCTCAGAACTGAGGAAACCACATTGGCCAACCTGGGAGAAATATGGGGGCTGCCTTTGATTACCTCTCCTTCTAAATGGCTGGTTGGCAGGCTCTCACTCTAACCCTTTGGGGGTGATTTACTAAGCTAAACACACGCATGCACCAGGTGCGTGTGATTTTTACACAGCAAAACGTATTTATCAACCAAAAAGTTTCTAAAAGCATATTTCCACTAATGCCATATATGGAAAAATCATGCACATGATGCATATGTAATGCTGTTTCACAATTTAGAAAAAAATGGTTAGCTCATGCATTTACATTCCTGCATTCATCAACGCAAGCAACACAACATAGAGCTAATTTACACAACATCACCTTGCAATTCATGCAGGGCTTTGCACAACACACCTGCTGGGTGTGTACACACTACAAAGGTGTTTAGAATCCACCCATAGATCATGCTGGGAGGGAACACACTACAGAGGTGTATACATGTTCGTGGTGTGTTTATAAGGCTAGTAAATCAACCCCTTTGTCTTCAATGTTTTCTGGGTCACAAACATGGAATAAGCATTCAGTTCTAGAGTTCTTAGTTCACTTAACTGGTTGTATTCTTGTTGGAGGTCTTTGTGACAATGTCAGTCCATGTCTCCTATGAAAGGTATGATTTTGTATTTTGTTTCGGACAAATGTTCCTGCAGTTTGGACACTGACTATTTGACCTCTTTGGAAACTCTTTGTTAGTTGGTGGCAATTGAAAATTAATTGAGTTACCTATGGTTCTAATTCATTCATAGCTGACATGTACTGATAATATGTGATCATCCTTATATGACTAACCTTTCAAACTAAGTTTGTAATTGTGTTTTTGTTGCTTCAAAGTTTAACATTTTTGCATAGTGTTTCTTTCTGTGTAATCGCATCGTTTAATCATGTATGCCGTGTATTCAATACAACTATCTATATTTGAACCTTTTCTGTTTGTTCTATAGTTATCATGCCTGCCAGTGATAAATAAATGTGTTTTATTGAAAAAAGCTGTGTTGTCATGTCTGTTGTTAATTATATTAAATTACCATGACTTGATTATTATACAAAGCAGTAGGTACATATATTGGTGTCCGAGTGTCACCCCGCCGAGATGTCACCGCGCGTGTGCGCGATGACGTCATCGCGCGGCAGTATTCTGATACCTGCCGGCGGCCATCTTGGTGAGAGGAGGTATGCCGCCGTGTCCCCTCCTCTCTCCAGATACTGTCGGGCGTTCGGTCCATGACCGAGCGCCCGACTTTTCAGAGGGGGGTGGCACCAAAATGACTGTAAGTCATTTTGGTGTCACCCCTCCAATGGTGTCACCCGGATGCGGGCCGCACCCCCCGCAACCCCCTTGTGACGCCACTGATGGGGTGGTCATAATAATCTGGCCACTCAGTGTATACATAAACACATAAAAATAAATTATTTTATGAGTTACTTGAGCCTGGTCCAAGACCACACATACTGTAGGTAACCCTTTAAAGCAGACCAGTCAAAGCCCCTGCAAGGTCAATGTCTGCTCAGTAGATACAGGCCCCCCGTACCCGTAGAAATCGCTGCACAATAGTACTTAAAAATTGTCCCGGAAAAGAAAAAAGTTAGATCATATACTTACCTTACCCCGGTCTTCCACATTGTAGGGTGTGACATCACTGTCCTTCAGCCAAGATTCCTGGGGAACAATGAATACCTCAAATTTCACGAGAAGACACTTCAGTCCAGTGCAGGAGTGTGATGTCTCCCATGTCTAGGTGCTATGGGCAAAAGACTGGAGTGAGGTAAGTATTACACATATACATTTCTTTTCATTCTGAATGGATATTTGTACGAATTTCATTTTTTTATTAACTCTCAAGCAACCAGAAAATAGAGTTGTTTACTGATCCCCAAACTGGGAGCTTACTGTATTAACTAAAATGTATCTTATTTGTGTATCACTCGGCTGTATATCCTCCAATCATCTCTGGCTTGGTGCTGACACTGTCCTTCCTTCTGGAGGGGTGGGTGGGGGCTACTTCTGTTCCCCCCTGGCTTCTTCTGGGGTCGATGATGGTGTCTCTTCTTTCTAGTCTTCCATATGGATGGTGTGTATTCATTTTACAAGGTGAATTCCACCCATATGAACAATGGAACAATCAGCAAAGAGATAGCAGTACACACAAACTATGTCAACATACATATTATCTTTTTTGCTGGATCTTTTGTCCCATTTCTCATATTTTGTGTAGCCATCTTCTTTCTGGTGGTACCACTCTTCAAGCACACCCGGAAATATGAACAACAATAGCACTGGCTTTACAAAAGGTCAACTTGATGTCCTCTTAAGCGCAATTAGGAATATGTTATCGTTTTTAATCTTTTACATCCTCTATTTTATAAATGGAATGTTGTTTCCCCTGAGTGTGCAGCTCCAGAATGATATATTTACTTTAGTATGCTGCCTTTTCCAGGTTTCCTACCCAAGCCTGCACTCTGTTGTGTTAATTATCAGCAACATCAAACTGAAACAATCCATTATTGATGCTCTCCACTGCTTAAAGTAAAGTAATTCACGTAAACAAACTTTACAATAGCAAGAGACACATCACCAGGTAACTTGAACTATCGGCCATTTTTATTCCCAATTGCATGATCTGTGTTCCCACCAGAATACAGACAGAGGAAGAGGAAACAATCCAAGCCCAACTGAGATCATTGTTCAACTTTAAAGATATGGAGTGTATAGCGACCTGTCTCAGGTGATCCTCCCAAGCCGATGTAGTAGACATTTTAATTCCAGGAAGTAAGGAATACCCAGCTACTGGACAGATATTACAGACAGCCTGGACAATCTGGATTGGGAAGCTCTTATCTTATTGAACATCTTTGGGATGCGTTGGAATGCCGATTCAAGCTAGGTCTACTATCCAAGCATCAGTACCTGACTTTGCAAATACTCTTTTGACTGAAAGGGAACAATTTTACACAGACACACTCCAAAATCTTTTGAAATGCCTTTTCAGATAATGCCAAGGCTGGTACAGACACAAAAAGGAAAGGGGGGGTGGACACTCAATGTTAACGTCCAAGGATTTGGAATTAGATGTCCAACATGTTTATATAGGTGTGATGATAGAGTTCCATACATTTTTGGTTATATAGTGTACATTGCCTTATACAGCCAACGATAATCTTTCCTAATATGCTTCATTAAAATTTAGTAATAAGAGTTCCTGCTTTTGCATTGATAACTAACAGGGTTATTCACTAGAGGGTGAAGAGTTTGGAGAAGGCCGGAGAAGTGAACAATCTAGGACAGTGGTGGCAAACCTTGGCACTCCAGCTGTTATGGAACTACAAGTCCCATGAGGCATTGCAAGGCTCTGACAGCCACAGACATAACTCCCAGAGGCAGATGCATGTTGGGATTTGTAGTTTTGGCACAGCTTGAGTGCCAAGGTTCGGCACCACAGATCTAGGACAACATAGCTGAACTGGAAAGTGAGATGAATTGGAGAATTTTTCCAAATCAGCAATGTTGTCCTAGATTGTTCACTTCTCCTGCCTTCTCCAAACTCTTCACCTTCTAGTGAATAACCCTGTAAGTCTACTTCTTTCCCACAGTGAATGGGACAATAGGCGATCAGTACTGATGATGCAATGCAGGGCCCTTTGGGTGCACCATGTTATTATAATTTTTTTAAATATATGTGTACTGCTTTAAATTTAAGAACTACAGGTGCGTGAGGTGGATGTAACCCCTAAACCTTCTAAGGACCAAAATTGGATCTCGTATGCCCTACGATCCGCCCCAGAGACAATGCTTTGGGAGATATATCAATTGAGACCCTGCTGATCAATCCCCAGTGAGTTATAAAATGCCCCAGTTATCCCTGTTTCTCCTTTGTTTTTTCCATTTTTTTCTGTTTTTTTTACCATTTTTTGTCAGTAAACATTTTTTAGTTTTACGTTTGTTTCTTTAATCTAGTGTTTGCACCACTCCCTTCAATATCATACTGTACATATGAGAACATTATTGCCCAAACAGCATCTGTCTGTGGTGGTACCCCGTTAACTCCCATTTTCCCCTTATTGTATCCCTGTAATTTAATTTGATACAAAATAAATACACACACACACACACACATAAATACTCTTTTTTTATATAGAACTGTTTTTGAGAGTTTGTATTGATTGCTGGTATTCACCCCCCTGATGTACAGAAGCAGAGGTAGATTGCACTTGTGGATAGATCACTGGGTAATATATTCATCCAAAACCCCCATGTGGCAGGTACTAAATTTGATAACCCTAAATGTTGAAGCCCAACTTCAGGTGTCCTGGCTAGTCATATGATGGGCTAGGGTCCTTTTTTTCTTTGCTGGTGTTGGCTGGGGCTTCCTCTATGCTGCAGAGAGGAGCTCATGGTAAAACCTAAGTGCCATCTTCTAGCATTGCACTCCCTAGGGCAGGGGTAGCAAAACTCCGGCCCTCCAGCTGTGGTGGAACTACAATTCCCATGAGGCATTGCAAGATTTTCACAGCCACAGACATGACTCCCGGAGAGAGATGCATCATGGGATTTGTAGTTTTAGCACAGCTGGAGGGCCGGAGTTTGGCTACCCCTGCCCTAGGGGATGTGTCTATGATACTCAAGTCTCACACTTGGCATCATTCAACCTGGACTAGGGATGTTCAGATACCAGTATCTGTATCAATGCCGATACTTGGCATTTTCATGAGAACGACAAGGGTCATATCGGTTTCAGCTGCGACTGGGCCCTGGTGCTCCACCACTGCCCTGAAATCAATAGTCTATAGTTTTAGAAAAACTGTCACATGACACTAAACCAAGATGTATCAGTAATTGTATCTGTGAGTACTTGGACAAGTATCAGTACCCTCAAAAAAATGATATTGGTGCATCCCTAATATATATATATATATATATTAGCCAATGCTCCTTAAAAATGACAGCTCCCTCTTAACTTTTTAGTTTTTCTCTAGTCTTGGAGCTGGAAAGGTATCAGTTCTTGTACCAAGTATGGTACGTGGTATCTGTGCATCCCTAGTTGATACCTTTGCATTTGCATGCCAGCCTGGCAACTAGTCCATCGTCAAAAGGACAGTTCTGCAAAGTCAACCTACATTTTTTTATCACTACTAAGGCATTTTAGTCATAAAAACCTTCATACAACATTCATAGCAATTTCATTTAATACAATGTAGGTTACATTAACGTTTTGAGAATTTTATTATACAGAATATTTCAATATTTTAATTTAATTTCTTGCCCTTGAAAAAGTAAATTGCTCTCGCATTAGACCAATTAAAGCCTCAGAAAAGCTCCTGCCCTAAAAATAACTGAGACACGCAGGTGTTCATTCAAATGTAATGACTATAAAAAAAGATTCAAAGGTTTCAGTATCCAAATGCCATGCAAAACGTGAAGCAAACAAATCCATGTTTAATATATCTTCCGGACTATCAGATGTCACAGAGCAGCCCGTGTAGAAGATAAAAAAAACCCTTCTGCTCTATAAAGAAACCAGATTCTGTGTTAGCGGTACATTTTACTTTAGGGGAAACATGCATTCTGCATTTTTAATTCTCTTGTTTGTTATTATATTTGCTTTGATTTTCATCGGGTTTTTTCTGAATGGATTCATCTTTCTGAAACACTTCATTGACTGGTTGCGAGGTAGACAACTTCAAACCATTGACCTAATCATGGCAAGCCTGGGCTTGGTGAGAATCATTCACCTCATGATTTATACGTTTAAAAATGTGGTTATGATTTCTTCCGAGTTGTACAATTTGGTAAAGGTCTATGCTGACTATATTGTGACCATGCTGGTATTTGCAGAGCTCTGCAGCCTGTGGTGGGGCACTGTGCTCTGTGTCTTCTACTGCGTGAAGATCAACAACTACAGCAGCAGATTATTCATAAAAGTCAAGATGAGGATCTCCGGGATGGTCCCCTGGCTCCTTTTGGGGTCATTGATGGCGTCTTGTCTTTCTAGTCTTCCATATGAATGGTTTGTATATTCACTCGTCAAGGAGAATTCCACCCAAATTCGCAATAGAACAATCACTGAAGATGTAGCTCTGCACTCCAACACTGTCAGCTTCTTCATTATCTACATTGTTGGATCCTTTGTCCCATTTCTCATCTTTTGCGTAGCCACCTTCTTTCTGGTGGTACCACTCTTCAAGCACACCCGGAATATGAGCCATAATAACACTGGCTTTACACAAGGTCAACTTGATGTTCTTTTAAGCGCTATCAGGAATATGTTATCGTTTTTAATCTTTTACATCCTCTATTTTATAACTGGAATTTTGTTTCCCGTAAGTGTGCAGCTACAAGATCTTATTTTTGGTCTAGTTTGCTGTATTTTCCAGGTTGCTTACCCAAGCCTGCACTCCGTTGTGTTGATCATCAGCAACGTCAAACTGAAACAATCCGTTATTGATGTTCTCCACTGCTTAAAGTAAAGTCATTGACATTAATACATTTTATATTAGTAAAGCTATTCATTTATAGATGAACCTAAAGTGGAGGGTGTCAGTACAATATCATATTATATGTGAGCAGGAGAAGTTGACGTTGCTCCAACCTGGTTGAAGTTGCTCACCAGGTTACTTGAACTTTGAGCCATTTTTGCTCCCAAAGGCATGGTCTCTGTTCCCACCAGAATATACCTTTGAGGTAGAGGAAATAACCCAAGGCCATCTCAGAACTTATCTCATCTAACCACTGTAAAGGTATTGACTTTTTGGTGACCTGTCACAGGTGACCTTCCAAAACGGATGTATGAGACATTTAAACTTAGGAAGCAAGCAATACCCAGCTATTGGAAAGACATTTCTATCCTTATTCATAACTACATTCACTTTGCGGTAACTCTGAATCCCACTGAACTATAAACTCTTTCAGGTCCTCAAAAGAAAGAGAATATATATATAAGTGTGTGTGTGTGTGTGTGTGTGTATATATATATATACATACTGTATATTAGGGAATGTCTATGAATCTTTCAAGAACACTGACTTAGATCTGCTAAACAAAGATTCTGATGAAATGTAACAAAATCACTGACAAATGGCAAAACTTCAGACCCTGAGGCGTTTACCTGCCTGTTTTACAAACAAGAGCTTTTACATTTTAGGACGTTCTAACTGAATTACGATCCTCCTTACTAAGCTGTACCAGAGTGCTCTGGTAGTGTGATGTGAAGCTGTGGGGCATACAAGTTGGCTGCTGAGATGATTACTATAAGAACGGACCATCTAGATTGGTTTTGACTGGAAATTGCTTGAAGGTTCATCAACATTTTTATTCATTATACCATCAAAATGTATGAGGACACCAGACCATCAGACCTACCTATAAGACTCCTACAAATGATTCAGTTCAGGTGTTTCCAATGAAGGGTACTGTTAATACCCCATCTTATAAAGGCATTTTGGACAATTTTGTGCACACAACTTTGTTCCACAGAATGAGGAAGGCCCTTTTATGTTCCAGCATGACTGTGCACAAAGCATGGTTTGACTAGTTCAGTATGAAAGAATTTAAATAGCTTGCTCCGAGCCCTGACCTCAACCCTACTGAACATCTTTGGGATGAATTGAAATGCCATTTGAAGCTAGTTCTTCTAGCCTAACATAAGTACCTGACTTTACAAATACTCCCTTTGAATGGGAACCTAACCCTAACCCTGAATGGGAACAATTTTGCACAGACACATGCAAAATGGAAAGCCTTGCCAGAAGAGTCAAGGCTGTTATAGACACAAAAGGGGAGAACGGTGTCTATAATAATTCTTGTGGTTTTGTAATGAGATTCAATCAAGTTCATGTCGGTGTTATGGTCGGGGGATCCACAAATTTTTGGCTATATATTGTGTGCATTACCTTATGAAGCCAACAATTAATCCTTCGTAATATGCTTAATTTAAATCTAGTAATAAGAATAAAGACGTTTGGACCCCTCGCAAGCCCACTTCTACTTTTGTAATGAAGTGCAGGTCTACTTTCGCAGAGTGTATGAGTCAGTAGGTGATTGGTACTGATGCAGTGTAGGGCCTTAAGGATGCATCATGTGCATCATCTCATCAGAAAACACTTATATACACATATTTCATAACCTGATTAGTTTAATATATTTGTACAGCCTCACATTTAGGGACCTATACATACTACACACCAATAGAACCATACACACATACACAAATAGGTTGGACTTGATGGACATATATCTTTATTCAACCTCAAATACTATGTAACTATGTAACATTTAAAAAGCTACAAGTGCATGAAGTAGGTCCCCAAAACTTTCTAAGGACTTAAAGGAGAACTATGGGGTCAGGGCTTTTCCCCATAGTTCTTCTTAGAGTAACGGGAGGACACAAACTTGCTACAGCTCGCGGTATACTGAGACGCTGCAGCCGGAGCGGATCCCGACATCGATGTCGAGATCCGCCCAGCTGCGTGAGTGACAGCTGGCTCTGCCTATCTAGAGGCAGAGCCAGCTGTACCCGGCCCCTCCCACGTCCGTTCCGCCAGTCAGCGCTGGAGGATCGGAGCGGGGAGGGGGGAATCCAGCCCCTCCCCCTGTCACGGCAGAGAGCCGTGACAGGATCGAGAGGTGAGCGAACGCCGGTATATGCTCGCTCACCTCCCGATCTACTGAGCCGACCTGTGACAGTCTCATTGTCACAGGTCGGCTAGAACTATGAGGTGAGTGAAAAGCACCCACCTCATAGTTCTCCTTTAAGACATATCTTGGATGCCAAAGATCCACATAGAAATAGTGGTTTAGACCCAACGAGATTTCGACAGCTGAAATCTTAGTTCTTTCCTATTCAACTGTCAATTTACCCCTTGTTAGCTCTAAATTGCCCGGTTACACATTTTACTTCGTAGTTATTAGACATTTTTTTGTCAGTAAATATTTTTTAGGTATACCTTTGATTCTTTATTTTATTTCTGCAGTACTATGTAAAAAAAAACCTGTACATTTATTATTAACTTTACTACGTTGTGTGGCAAAAAGATGATTTTAGTGAAAATATGTGTGTTTTGTATCTAGAATAGAAAAATAATCCCTTACTTTTGGCAGATAACATGTATAGAAAATGTTAAAAATCTTAGAAAAAATTAGAACCAAAATAATACCTTGTCATCATCCTCAAAAAGGAAAAAAAATAGTTTTCTTCTTTCTTCTTTTACTTTTCTTATTTTCTTTATGACCCATACGTGGAAGATCATATGGAAATGTACAGGATAGGTTTGAATAATAAGGAATAGAATAATTATTGTAATTGAGTAGATGGCCGTTAATGGCGCTTTAATATCGAGGAATGAGAGGAATTCCTTGTAGACAAGTATATGTTATAGGGAGGAGGGAAAAAACTATGTAAAAGTTTGTTTGGATGTGTGTTTATGATTATATGTATTTATGACTATTTATATGTTATATGTATATTTGGAAAATGTAATAAATAGATATTATTAAAAAAAAAGGCAAAAATCCAATTGTATGTGTAACCAAGGGCAGGCCTGCTCACCATAGTAAAGGACAAGTAGTCACCTCTCAAGGGTGAAGTGGAAAAGAGCTGGCACTTGTAGGAATCCTCTTAATTGAGTCTCTTTATTGAAAAGGCATAAAAGCAACTACAAAGATTACTAACATGTTCCAGTCCACGAAGGGACCTAAATCACACAAATAAGAGCAATAAATACAAATAAATATGGGAACACCCACCCACCAAGGGTAACCTCCAGGTCTCCTTCGGTTCACTGGCCATAGACTGGTACTGAAAAGCTGGACTCATTTGTTTTCCACAAACATAGTCTTTGATGGTGAGCTCTTACCTTCAAGATAAGTCTGGGCAACACTTAGAATTCCCTCTTCTTGCTTCCTCCGTCTTAAAACTGCAGGGACGCTGAGTCTCAAGATGCCCGGGCAGAGGCCATGAATGCATAATTCAACACCTTCATATACTTTCTTCTAGGATGTAGGGGAGACACCAGGCTGACTCTCGCTGCAGACACAGAGTCCAAAATGTGCTGTGATTCAGTGCATTGCACCTTCCAGCCCCATAGCACAGAAGAATGTCCATTTGGGTTTAGGTGAGAAATAATAAACTTTACTCAAGAGTTAAATAGTAAATCACAAGTGGTATCACAAGAGGCAAAATTATTTTTCTCTTTAAAGGGCAACTCCATCTCTCAGCCTGTCTCTTTTGTACACTGTCTTTCTTTTCTAACTCTATCACCCATAAACGGGTATCTTCTCCCAAGGGGATACGTTCAGGATTTGTTGCAGTCCCAAATACTAGCCCATTGCAACAAGGAACTCCTCATCACGCTCCCCACGGCCCAATTTTCCTGCTAACTCTGCCCACCTATCACTTCTATAACCCACCTGGAAGGGCCAAAAAAGAAAAGTCCGGTGCCCAGCACCTGATAAATGGGATCTCCCCAGAGAAGCGACTATACCCTGCTACATATGTATAATTATAATACGATAGGTCTTGAGAATGCTATTGGCAAAGCAATAGGAACATAGCTAAAATAAAGAGGTTTATCACGGTGTCTACCTTCTTTCTCTGTTTTTGGTACCTTTTTGATGTATTGTAACCCCATTACATCTTGCTGTACCCCTGTAAAATCATGAAAAAAAAATCCAAATACCCAAATGCTCCACTAACTTTGTGTTTAATTTAGAGACTCTCCCTCTCTTCCCGTCCCATAGAACTAGTTTTGGGAGTTTGTGTGAAAATAGGGAGCATACCTCCCGACATCAGAGCTAAAAGAGGCAGAACAAAAACCCCCATGAAGCTGAATATTGTGCATGGCCTAAATGGCCAGTGTCTCGCAGTAGACACTGCACATAAATGCCGCAGTCCTTGTACCCCAGCATAGTCCTTAATTACTGTGCGGACAGTCCTGCAGACATATACAGTATAACTCTAAACCAGGGGTAGCTAAACTTTGGCCCACCAACTGTGGTGAAACCACAAATACCACCATCTGCCTGTGGGAGTCATGCCTGTGGCTGTCAGAGTCTTGCAATGCCTTATAGGATTTGTTTCACCACAGCCGGTGGGATGAAGTTTGCTCTAAAGGATTATTATTTAAAAAAATAAAACAAACACTTTATCTGTATCTAATTTAATATTTAATGTGCAGTTTTTCAGAAGTGTGTTATGTACAGAAAAGCTAACAGAGTAAAGTGGCAGCACTATGTAATGTAAAATAATAATGCCAATTTTATTGTTGGTCAGTGGGAAAAAATTCTTGGAGTCTGGGGGCAGTGGTAGGAAAAAAAATACCTGACCTTAGTGGACATATGTTAGAAAAAATACCTAAATACCTGACCTTGGTGGGCAGTGGGAGGAAATAATAACTGACCTTGGTTGGTAGTAAAAGAAAGAAATTCCCATATTTACGTATTTCCCGTATTTACGTTTACATGTGCGTGCATG